TCGGATGATTACTTTGTGATTAAGATTGCTGGTTGTTGAATGTGGTGAGATGAGTGTCCTAAAAGTTCCTTGAGGAGGGGATCCGTCGCTCGTCTTATATCTCGGGTTGACCATCACAGAATGCTGGTTGCTACGGTGCCACCAGACAGCTCTAGGAGTCCAGGGGACCCCGTTTCGATGATCATCTCGTAATCACGGGGTGCAGAAAGCGAGGTCGCGTTGGTTGCGCCAGTCCAACCAGTGCCCAAAGTTGAGTATGTGCACTGCCGGGGCGAAGATCTTCTCGTAATGCCGGCCAGGGATACCTGCGGAGCCTGATTGACATCATGAGCCCTGCCTCCTGTGGTTCGCAGTGGAGTCGCGGACAAATACGAGAGGAGCCGCCTCGCAAGGGGAGGCGAGGGTGAGTGACATGGCATGGTACCCTCGGAGAGACTTGGCGATGCGGCATCCCGCCTCCTAGCGCTGCCGTCTGCGTCGCCCGCGAAACCCGTTGCTTCTACCCCGAGATTTTGGTTGACCTTCGCACCTCGGTCTCTGCACGTTTACTAACAAAGTGTGTGTGTGGATGGAGAAGTTGAAAGCGCCACAACCGGCGGCCTCGGGAGGACGGAGCCGGCCAAGGAGAAGGTGAGGATGCCGATTGGTTCGGTTCTCTATTTAGCACAGCCATTGTCATGGATGATGGATGAACCGGTGGTCCCTATTCGACACAATAACAGAAAGATGGGGAAAAAAGAAGAGAGAAGAAAAGAGGCAGAGCTGAGAGCGAGAGGCTGGCGGTGGCTGGTCCTGCTGAAACGCACACAAACTCAACCACAAAGCTGCGCCCCCCAGCCACCCAGAGTTGCCAGACCAATATCTGTCGTGTTATGCTGTGACCAGCACATACCATCTGGTGCCTTAACATAGGGCAGAGGTGGGCAGTGATGTCACAAACAAACGACCGGCTGCCCCACGTCCCCTATTTTCAGACATTTTAGGCATTTTAGACAGGAGCCGTCTCTTTGGGACTCGTCTTGGCTTTCCTCATGGCGACATGGCTGAGGAGCTGCGAAGAGTCTAACTCCCCGGGAGGCAAACGGCTAAACGGTATGGGCCAAGCGCCGTAACGTAGCATGTAACTCTTGCTCAAGGCAGAGCCTCCGGGGCTAGGTAAGCGAAAGGTAATCCGTTTCCCGACCGATCAACACATTTTACATAAACGAAACGGCCAACAAGGCGACCAGAGAAGAGAGAGAGAGGCGACAAGAAAAAACAGAGAGTCAAGGACGCTAAAAAGTCGGTCACTTGCTCCCAGTCAAGGGTCCATCAAAGTGAAACTGACGCCAGCCCAGCGTCGCTCTCGATAACGCCGATGAACCTTATCCTATTAATAGCCGAGTCAAGGGCTGGCAAAGCCAGGTCGATCCGCTAAAATCTCTTTGGGTGCTAGGTGTGCTTTTCCGGAGAATATTCCACAGCTTCTTCCAGCAGCTGCTGCATCAAGCGCTTGGCACGCTTAGCTCGGGGGGCGAATTCGCGGTGACTCGTGCGCTTGCTAGAGGAAAACACGGTCCATCGTCATTGGAATTCTTTCCATAGCGTTGGGCGAAACATTGACAGAGACAAAAACGAGCGTGTCTGTAAGTAAGCCATTCTCGGTGCAACTCGATCCTGACGGTGCCCGAACTGCTTGTCAGAGAGAGGCCTTCCAGTTCGATTCATGGGTCACTGCAATGGCCTGATGGGAAATCCGTCGAAATGGCTCAAGGGCCGTGTTCGGACGATCTGCTGCCCCAGAAGCTTTCAAGTTGGGACGAGATATGGAGACGTTGTTCCCACCCTTATCCCGCATATACCCAGTTATTCCAACCTTGATGCGCATTTTTATTTCTTTTCCACCCCCTAAGCCCCGGAAACCTGACCAGCGAAGCATTCGAGCCATGTAGAGAATATTGGAGACTATTCTAGAACGGCACAATGGCATGGGCATGACCGAAGATTGTGTACATCGAATCTAGACGGCGTTGCATTCGTCCGATGGTTTTTTTTTTCTATTTTTTTTCCGCTGGTCATCTACCAGTCCCTCCAGGACATGGTCATGATTAGAGTATGTAGATGATCCATCATCCATGACTGCACTAAAAGCGTCTCCAAAAATATCCAAGCTTAAGCAGCACAGTGTGTCGATCACCAATCCAAATCGACCAACGCAAAACAATCCAGCTGTTTATCTAAATTCGCGCATGATATGGGCGATCATTTCTCGTGAAGGCAATGTTCGGCCGAGAAGAAGTTTCACAGACTGCATGCAGCCCGCTGCCCAGTCGTGAGATAGGGATAGACACGGGGTAGGCAGAAGAAAATATGGTAGGGCACAGGTATCAGGGAATAAAGCTGAAGGACTGCCAACGCCCAGGGCACAACTTGACTCATTCATTGGGGCACAATCAATTTTGTGTTGTTAATGGACGTTGCGATCATCACGTCTCATCTGTCCCGAATGTGTTATCAGACTTCAGAGACAAAGTCTCCTCAAGGTTTTCTAACCACATCGACGTGGACCTTTTTTGGTTGCCGTCTGACTTTTCTGAAGATTGCGATATACGTCTACCGAAATGAACGAAAAAACATAATCGAGAAAACGCACCGTCCTCTCGAGGCGCCAGAAACGGTGCGGTTGTGTTTTGAGAAATGTTGTGTGCCACAAAAGTTCCTGCATGTCGTTTCATTGCCATGGGATGTGAGAAACAAATTTTGAAATGCAGCTCAAGATCATTGTGCTTCCGATCCGTGTGGTGTAGGTACTATGTTGCTTCATGCGCTTCGCCAATAGACAAGCATCATTTTCGTGAACATAATGGTTACCATGCTCTCTCCTCAGGGACCCCTGCCCACGGTGCCGCATGCCGGCATGGCCTACGCAGGAAAAGCGTCCGAAGCCCCGGAGCATCCAATGCACCTCTCCTTCGCTTGATGAAACTAATCCACCCCCGTATTGCGCTGCAAATAGCCCTTGTGAATAGAGACGGGATCACCGATGTCTTGCTCGCTTACAGGTTCTCACAGCAGGCTTGCTGTCTGAATCTCATCTGGGCCCTGGCCTGTCAGCTTCAAGCTCCTCAGGGATAGGCGTGAGAAGCCCTCCAGGAACGCGAAAGGGGCTAAGGAACCTGACCATCGACACGCATTTAGACACTGCTCCGTAAAAGAGACCCAGATTCCTGTTTGTGATTGGAAGACGGCGTAAATGGCCGAAGCCTCGAAGCTTCGTCGTGGAGGATTCATGTACAATTACCAGTGACCCTTTGTCTTACACTCGATCTCGCTATTACTCACATGGATTACATTTCTTTCGGATGCTGATCTTAGTTGCTACATTTAACCTGCAAATCACTTGGTCATGGTAGTTGCAAAATCCGATTTCGACATCAAATGCGTCGATGACACTCGTCTCGCTTTCACCATCAACTCAATCGGTGCCATTGCAAACTTCGCTTCTTACGTCGCACATTGTCTCGTGCTCTGAGCATGTCCGACATGAAGGGAGTTATGCTAGACTCTATTCAAGAATTGGGTCCCGTTTATTCAAGCTCGATGATTCCGGTCACTACAAAGAGGGGTTTGATGGAGTGAGTTTCCATTTCATTCTCGTGCTGAGAAGCGTGTGTTCCAATAGTAGTACATCAATCGACTCATTCCTCTCTCCGTTGTTTCTCAGTCAACTGACTTTGACGTGACGAATCTTTAGAGACGATTGACATTCTACAAGCTGCCCTTACATGCAGTTAATCAACCTTGACGGCAAGCTCAAAATTAAACTTGCGATCTAGAAGTTTCTACAGGGCGACAAAAAACCTCTTTTCGATTCCTCCACAGGCTTCAGCCAGCCCTGAGCCTCTGGTTAAACTGTTGTTCTCTTTACAGCTCGATGAGAAAACTGACCATCATCTTAGTTTCATCGATCTGTGCCAATCCATGCGTATGTCGAAAGACCCTCTCGATTATTACCAAGTAGCCTAATATGTCACGTGTTGGTGGAGAGCCAGACCGACAAGTTACAACACATCTTTGTCACAAAAGGCCGGCCCACTCAATGTGGGCAGCATTAACCACATCCATATCTCGTGACAATCTTTCATCTCGGAGCTGCATTCATAAAAGATATAATCGCTTCCTCAAGATTTGCTCAAGCCCGAAATTGAGGTCATATCGCAGTTCACGGGCGAAGGCTTCTAGCGTGTAAGTCAACTCGACTTGCTTGACGAGGAAGTTGACAAGCACCCCCACACACCAGAGTTCAGACTAGAATTAGAGCTGAAAGCGAGCAGCAACATCGCAATGGCCCCGAATCTGCGATGTTGAATAGAAGCTGCGGAAAATCTTGAACTAGATACATCAACTCTGTAAGATATTACTTATACCGATGCTAACCGGCAGGAACACTTTTAAAAGCAAGCATGGGCTTAAAAAGACTGGCAAGTTTTGAACTAATACAGGTAGCTCTGGAACCTGGGCCTCGGCTTATCTTGCGGGGAACTGTGCCAGGCATTTGGCGGGGTTTGTTGGTGCTTCGTGGCTTGAGGAGCTAAGCTTTTGGGGAAAGCTGGTACCAGTCAGCGTCTTGAATTATAACGATTCGTCGAGTGATTTCTCAGTCATCTTTAGGTTTGACCACTCATAGCTCCTTACCTGTCCTTACGGACATAGATATCATTGTAGACAACGAGGTGTCTTTCTATTGTAGATGTGAAGGTGCCAGACTCAGCGTTATATTGTACGGATAGACGGGAATGTTTTACCGAAACATGCAAGTCATCTGTACATACTTGCAGGGCCCACAAATCTCGCTATGACATAGCTCTCGACCTGAGATGAGGGGAAAACCAAGGGACGTTGAAAAGGGAAGCTTGACCAAGTCTCAGTGCATGTGGATATGAGGGGTCAAGCTTACCTGGGTATTTCATCCTTCCATCACCTCCATAGACCTTACCACTGGCCCCCAAAGCGCCTTAAACATGACTCAAGTTCGCAAACCTTCAAGCGTCAAGCTCGCGGAGTATCTTTTCACTCGCTTACACGATCTCGGCATAGGTGCCATCCACGGTGTTCCAGGAGACTTCAACCTCACATTGCTCGACTATGTCGAACCCGCAGGGCTACTATGGGTCGGCAACGCCAACGAACTGAATGCAGGATACGCTGCCGATGGATATGCTCGTATCAAGGGCGTCGGGGCCCTCATCACGACATCCGGCGTTGGCGAGCTCTCAGCCATCAACGCTGTCGCTGGGGCCTATGCTGAACGCGCAGCCGTGGTTCACATCGTCGGCACGCCCTCTAGGGTCCTACAGGATAGCAGAACCTTGATGCATCACGGCTTCAATGATGGAAACTACAGACGGTTCGCGGAGATGCACTCTCACGTCACCGTTGCGCAGGCGAATCTCAGAGATGCATCTTCGGCACCGCGTCAAATTGACGAGGTACTGAGGCAGTGCCTGGCCCATAGCCGTCCGGTCTACATTGAAATTCCTCAGGATCTGGTTGCCGTACCGGTTTCGGCCGATAGGCTAGATACACCGATTCAGCTTCCCGATGCTGTGCCAACATCGGCCGACGAGACTGCTCTCGCAGCAATCCTGGGCAAGATACACGCTGCGAAACATCCCATGATTATCGTCGATGGAGAGACGAGGCCGTTGGGTCTCGTCGAGCAGACCGAGAAGCTGGTGAAAGTGACGGGCTGGCCGACCTGGACTACTGCTTTCAGCAAGTCACTGGTCGACGAGAGTCTGCCAAATTACCACGGTATCTATACAGGTAGATTTGCCGATCCTGCCGTCAAGACGTTCGTCGAAAAGGCGGACTTGATCCTGTGCTTCGGTCCTCATTTCAGCTCGACAAACACTTATGCTTTCTCAAGCATACCCAAGCCGGATGTAACAATCCTCTTCAGCGACAACATCAAAGTGGCGGACCAAATGTACCGCGATGTCACCATTAGAGCGGTAATCAGCTCCCTTCTCGGACAACTCGAAAAGTCCAAGATTCATCATTATGATCCTTACCCAGAACTTCCTAAAGACCACGGCATGAATTTCTCAGAGGTGGAGAGTGAGGAGAAGATAACTCAGTCCAAGTTTTGGCATCTCACGTCCAGTTTCCTGCGTCCAGGGGACATCATATTCGGAGAGACGGGAACGGCCGGCCATGGCTCTCGAGTCTTTGCCCTACCGTCCCATACTAGAATGTTCCTCCCGACAACTTGGCTTTCCATCGGATACATGCTTCCTGCTGCGCAAGGCGCGGCCTTAGCGCAGCGAGAACTGATCGAGTCATCCAAATACCACGAAATTCAGGAGGCACGCACGATTCTCTTCATCGGCGATGGTAGCTTCCAGATGACGGTTCAAGAGATCTCTACCATGGTGCGCCACAACCTTGACGTGATCATCGTCCTTCTTAACAATGACGGGTACACCATTGAACGATGCATACACGGGTTGGATCAGTCCTACAACGACGTCGCCCGCTGGCGCTACTTGCAGGCGCCGGGTTTCTTCGGAGGCAATCCAGAGACGTATACAGGCTCTGCAAAGACCTGGGGTGAGCTGGAGAAAGTGTTGAAGGATGATGAGCTGAAAGATGGGAAGGGCTTGAGGATGGTGGAGGTTTTCATGGACCTTGATGACGCGCCGGCGGGCGCCCTGCTTGAGTTACTCAAGAAGGAGAAGGAGAGAATTGCAGATGGTCAAGCATAGGCAGGGTAGTTGATAGACGATATGCGTATCAAGAAAAATTTCCAATTGGCCTTCGACATGCGATTAATTCCAAGAAGAGGGGGACGGCAAGCACAGAAAGTATAGTCTCAAGGATTGAAGTCGGCATATTGATCTATTCACGATACTCTCAGTTGGGGTTTCCATATGCTGCAGTAGATATGAGTTGCTATCAACAAAGAAGCACGATGTATATGGTATTTATTGTCAACGTTCATAGTTCGAGCTTCGGTTGTGCGGCTGAACGGCATGAGCGCTTCATTATCTTCAGCTTTTCCAAAATAGTACTTAGCTACAAAGTGGCCTTTAGACAAGGCTTGTTGACGCCTTGGATACATAATTACGGAACATACCTTTTATAGCTTTGTTTCCGAACTTCCGATGACAAGATGCGGGGTGATCGGCAGTTGCCAAAGTGATACAGTAAGACAGTGAAGACGGCCCGTGTGGGAGCGAATCTCGGAATCGGAAACGTTGTTATTGAAGATGTTGGCTAATTGGCTAACGCGGAGAGGCCGAATGAACATTATCTTGCTAAAAGGACATCGTTGTACTTCTATCCCTACCTTTTCGCCTCCGGCGTCTCAAAATTCCGAGACAAGAAATTGAACAATTCAACTACCGAACCAGTGACCTTACCGAGTATTTCTCAACTTCACGGCAATTCCATCGTCATTTCATAGCAAAAATGGCCATTATTTCGGAAGTTGTTGCATCCGTCTCAGCTCATCTTCCCATTCTGATTGTGGGCATTTTGGCGATTCACCTGGTCCGAAACTTCGTAAGAAGAGGAGTTTCCAAGATACCAGGCCCGTTTTTAGCCAAGATCTCCAACATATGGAGGTTCGTTGATGTAGCGCGCGGAAGGGCTCATGCGACACACATCAAGCTCCATGCACGATACGGGCAGTACGTGAGACTTGGTCCAAATCTAGTCAGTGTCCAAAATCTCGAAGCCTTGAAGATAATTTATGGTGTAAACAAGGGATACCGCAAGGTTAGTTCGACATGCCATGGAGAATTCGTAGCGTTTGCTGAGAGACTTCTTCTAGACCGAGTTCTATGCGGTACAGCAGCAGCTGGCAAACGGCAAACCGACGCAAACCCTTTTTACGACCCTTGACGAAGACTTCCATGCGAAAATCAAGAGACCCATCTCAAGTCTTTATTCTATGAGTACACTGACCGAGTTCGAGCCCTTCGTTGATAGCACGATAGAAAAGCTGCTCGAGAAGTTGAGCGAGTTTGCCGATGCTGGACAGGAGTTGGATCTCGCGACATGGCTCCAGTATTGTAAGTGATACAGCCTAGTGACTCTGAAGCACGCAGCTGACATCAATGCGTCTCAAACTAGATGCTTTCGATGTGATTGGGGAGTTGACCTTTGGCAAGCCGCTCGGTTTTCTCGAGCAAGGCCAAGACGTTGGTGACGTGATGCTTTCATTGGAAAAGATGGTTGACTATGCAGGAATGGTGAGTTTGATAAAGAGCAAAATGAGTAGTAAGTCGCTGATACACTATGTCTTCAGATTGGCCAGATACCTTGGTTGGATCACCTCTTCATCAAGAACCCGATCAAGCGCAAATTTGGTGGTGGGTCGACCGGAGCTGTCGCTCGATTCGCGCGTCAGTGCCTCGAGGAGCGTCTTCATCGCCCCGAGGGAAAAGTAGGGAATCCTTCCCACCGCGACTTCCTTACTCGCTTCTTGGAAACCAAAAATACGCACTCACAGGTTGTCGATGACCGTCAGGTCTTCTCATGGACACTCAGCAACGTCAACGCTGGGTCAGACACGACAGCAATCTCACTACGAGCGGTGCTCTATTACCTCCTTAAGAACCCCTGGACTCTGAAAAAAGTCATGAAAGAAATTATGGGGGCTAGGGAAAAAGGGAAATTGTCGATACCGGTGACATGGAAAGAGAGCCAAGAGCTGCCGTACCTGGATGCGGCTATCAAAGAAGCGCTCAGACTTCATCCCGCAGTCGGCCTGCTACTCGAAAGAATTGTTCCTAAAGCCGGAATACAGCTTCCTGATGGCCCATTCCTGCCAGAGGGCACCATTGTCGGTATCAACCCATGGGTCATGCATCGTCATCCTGCATTCGGCGATCATCTCGAGTCCTACGTGCCGGAGCGATGGCTGCAAGGCGAACACGAACCTCTCAAAAGTTATGAAATTCGGAAGGCAGAGATGCAAGGAGCAACATTCACGTTCGGTGCCGGACCACGTACGTGTATCGGCAAGAATATCAGCTTGCTTGAGATCTATAAAGCGGTCCCAACTCTTCTCTATACCTACGATGTAAGAAATACATCCAACTGGTAGAAATCAGACTAACAGCTCCACACCTCTAGATCAGCTTGAGCTATCCAGACAAGGAATGGGATACTGTGAACGCGTGGTTTGTAAGACAAAAGAACATCCATGTCAAGTTGGCCAAATCCGGCAGGAGTTGAGATCTGTAGATGCCAATCAACCCATGACTAAACTGACGTATTGGCCCTTAATGGCATTGAACATTGAGTGAAATATCTTATAGTCTTCTGATTACAGATCGTTGTAGTGCTGGGAACGGAACTAGAGATTGATCATGTTGTATGATTAAGTAATTATGTACAGGAAAAAAATGTCATCCCGTCGGTTTCTTTGGTGTTGCAATGAAGATCAGTTGCTTTTGCTCGGAGGCCCCGCTACCACTGCCGTGCACTGAACAACGCAACATAGGGGGACAAGTGGGTAATTACCGATGGGATAGCCAGGTTTCAACTTAGGCGCGAGTCTTTCCACGCAGTGTGCAGAAGGCATTGTAGTAGTTATTCACATTGACCTCCTGATCAAGACGTCTGAGTTATCCTGCCACAACTGGGACCGATTCCTATCGCAAGTTTTCATCATTGACGATATCCATCCGAAGGTTTTCGATACACGCTTGTGCCTTTACGCGTTCGCCCAGCTTCTCAAGCGCATATTTCATTATGACAAACAAGCGTAAGAAGACTGGGTGTCTGGGTTGCAGAAGTAGGAAAAAGAAGTGCGATGAAAACCGTCCCGACTGTTACTTCTGTGTTGCGAAACAAATTGAATGTGTCTGGCCCGACATTTGGCAAGAAGTCAAGACGGCGCATGCACACAATGGTGGGTGCAGCTACCAATCTTATAGTAGAATAGCGTTCAAGATTTGAAGAAGCTGACTCTGAGTAGCGGTGGTCTCAAGTATCTCGAGGAGACGGCAACATAGGATCCAACACAGGGATTTTTCGACAGCCGATTTAGGTATTGTCTGTGAGCGCGTTTCCCATGTTCCCAAAGGGATGGTAGATGAGATTGTGCCGGAGTCTGTCACTCAGCATATCTCGTCAGTAACGGCAGCCGATGATCATTCTTGTCTCGATGACCTGTTGTTGAGCGAACCGTTATCGTTGGAGAGGAGATTGCATCCCACTACCTCTGTGGTTGCCTCTGAGTCCACCTCTGATGGCGCAACCCTCGCCTACACTATCAACGTATCGCCAACGATGCAGCATATCCCAATAATTCTGGATTCGACCCTGAGATCAGATACCGACGATTTTCAGCTACTGTTTCAGCACTTCGTCTTGCAGTCGATGCCATCTATGGCGCCTGATGACATTGACTTGGACCTCTTCCTCAAGTACACGATGCCTTTGGTCCTCGGCGACGATCTGGTCATGCGCGCAGCCCTCGCGCTTAGCAGCGCAAAGTATATGATGCGAGATCCAACGAGTAAAGCGCTACATCTGTCTAGGCTATGCCATTCCCAGGTTATGGATGCTATCAGAATACGGATCATTACTTGCAAAGCTGGGCTGGACGAGCGACCTGTGTTCCTATGTGCAGCTGCTATACTTATGGCTGTGCTAGAGTTAACGCTTGGCAGCACACAAAGTCACCATATAGACTTTGCCACCCATCTTATACTCAACGTCCTTCCCTCGTCCGTTCGACAGATTGATCGAACTCTGCATAGATTCCTGCTTAGGGCGTGCATCTACATACGAGCTGAGACATGGGGGTGCGAGGGTCCCACAGGTTTGCCCTCGGACGTAGAGAAGCAGGTTGCGAATATGTTCCAACTCGCGGCCAAGCTTGAGGATCTGGACAACGAGGGAGGAATAAGAAGTCAGATCGGCTTGCTCCAAACAGCCTTCGTCACAGGCCTGTTAGTTGTGCCGAAGCTCGCACGCCTTTCAGCATCAAGGGGGTGCATCGAAGACGACGTTGAACGCGCTATACAATTGGCAGCACTCGAGTCGCAGATCATGTCGTGGCAACCTCCTCCTGGTTCTGAAGCAAGTGATAACGTCCGGAGAGTCTGGGGTCTATGGCGGACAGGTCTTCTGGTACATCTTTACACATCCCCGGTGGCACAAGAAGTTTGCCAGACGTGGTGGAGAGAGAAGAGCAACGCGTGCATGAGCGAATTCATTCGGAGACTCAAAGATACATCTCAGAATCCTAGAGGTCTCTCAGTGCTCTCATGGCCGCTGGTAATGGCAGGGTCATTTTCTCAGATCGCTTCGCATCAACGGTTGATTCGAGACACGTTATCATCTATCTCTGAGCGAACTGTTTCGAGGCTACCAGTAAAATTAGCGGAACGACTCGGAACAGGGCAGCCAAATTTTCGAAATAGCTTAGTGGTATTATCGTAGAGATTATGGCTTTTCCTAAGACGATGCTATGGAGGCCAGTCTGACTTTCGGTCAGACAATGCAAAGATGGCACTGGAATCTGTCTCACAATCTGGGTATCAAAATGAGTAGTAGTTTTCCTTCATCTAGGCGTCACGGTACCCGTCGGCCGCGCGAGTCTTCACATCAACCTTGATAACATCACTGAAATCTTTAACAATTCGAGCGTTGAGACAACGAATGGCACCATCAAAGAGTTTGCAGATGACCTTGATAGAATCAAATTGATTTTCTACAAAAGGCCGAACACCCACCCTCCCACTTCTTCTTGATCCATCATTCCTTGATCCCTTCCCTCTTCGAAGCTTGGCGGGGTTATAGAAAGAGCCGCCATGTCCGGTATGCCCACGCTTTCTTGAACAACATGCGACACACGACGCGTGCCTGTCGAAGAGTTCCGACAGGAGATGCGCAACAAGATGAAGAGAAGAAAAGAAATGCAGCATGTTGGAGGGATTGGAAGACATTTGTAGTCTTCTAGGGTGGGAAGCGGGGGACAACTGCCGGTCAGTACGAAAAGCAAAAAGCTGGAACATCCTTCCGCGATGAGGTATTGAGGCGACATTGACCTAGCCTTAGGTATCTCAAGATGAAATACCTACTTATTAGTCCCAGCAATGTCCAGAACAAGACACGATACCATGGCGAAACTCATCGGCGGAAACAGCGAGCAGATACGGAGCAAGATCGCAGCTACAATCGTAGAAACACGCGACGGTTCTTCAGGTGCAAGCCTCCGTTCTCGCATTTCTCGCATACGGGATGAACACCTCAGGGACCTAAGATTGACCGGTCGAAAAGATGTTAAGTACGACCTCAGAAGAAACATGCTACAGCACCGCCGCAGCTCATCCAGGCGAGAGAAGAACAATACGACCAGACTAGATCAGATTTCGAAAACCCCTCAGAACACATGCAGAGAGTATTCTGACCACGTCTAGGGTCTGTCTGTCAGAGAGCCAGCCCAAAAGAATCTTCCTCTAGTGTTCTTATCAATTTCCCAGATACTCCGGAGTTGCCCTCTAAGCATTCCAAGAACAGCCTCACAGTCCGTCATTCGCTACCTGAACCCGAGTGTCTCCTTCTCTCGTTATCATCGCCCGTACACATCTAAGACAAACACTCGGAGCTACACCTTCGATTCCATCGAAACGACAAGCAGCAATAAGAACGCTCATAGAAGGAATGCCTACTGCCGGCATCAATTCCGAGGAGCAACAGGCCTCGACCACGCAACCTTACGCTTCGGCCCTCACGCACCTGGCCAAGGTAGAATGGGCAATTTAATGCAAGAGAAACTTTCAAGCTATAGGATTGAGAAGCTCATTGACGTATCTACTCTTCTGGTTGGCATCCCGAAGTTTGGGACATCTTGCTCTCGAAATGAAGTGAGGAAGGTCGTAAGAATCCGTATGGTATCTGGTCCACGGCCTCCTTGGTGCTGGTACCTTTGGCAGCAAACACGGCGCACGACAAATTTTGTTACGTTTTCTTGCACACGTATATCAACGGTTCTGCACATCGCCCGAGGGCTTTCACTCAATAATGATAATAAAACATTTACTGAGACTCCAGCATCTTTTCCTCTGCTCATGACTGGAAGATGAGATTGTGATGCTTGTTAATGAGAGACCGCTTCCGTGGAGCCCAGTTTTATTTCACTTGGTCTTCAGCATGCCAGAATGATGTGTGGCTAAGCCCCGCCTCCACTGCGGCTGGAGAAAAGAGGGAGGTTGACTAAGCCCATTAACTCATGCGTTGAAGGTGGGGTTCAGACCAATAATCCTCTCACTTGAAGCCGTGATTTCACTGTCATTTGATCAACTAAGTAGAATTGAACCCACCGCAACAATCATACAACTTTGTAGACCTGCCTCCATTGAGTCTCTCCAATGATGAGTTCCCAAGGCCAAGAACCTCGTAGCCCTCAAAGCTATTTGCCTCTGATCAATAAAGTCGACAAGTTGAGTAGCTCAATCACCAAAATCTCCCTTTTGAATCGGTTGGATTTCTAACTGCCTTCCAGTGTCCCGCTGAGCTTTGACTTCAATACTCTCTACAGGCTCTTTCTACCTAATGATTCTAGGCCACATGGCTTCATGGTTCAAAGCACTGTAGAGCGTCTTCCGTGGACCCTAGATTTCCGTATCGACCACGCTGAGCGTGTAGTGCAGTTGCTCAACTCCACGGTCAAAGATGACGAGGACATTGGCATGGCATGCACAGCTGCCTTCCAGCGCGTCGTCGACGCCGCAATCGCGTCTGATTCATTCCCCTCACTGAACAAGCTCCACAGCGAGCATTTCAAAATTATCGGCGCGAACCACTTTGTCTCGATTGAGCGATTTCCAGCACCTCTGTTCGGCATCTCGTCGCGCGGGGCACACATGACGGCCTATGTCAAAACAAGCGAAGGGATGAAGATCTGGGTACCGAGGCGGAGCGCACACCTCTTCACCTTCCCGAACCTACTTGATACCACTGTCGCGGGCGGCGTCAAGGCCGAGGACTCGCCCTTTGACTGCATCATCGCCGAGGCGACGGAGGAGGCGTCGCTGCCTGCTGACTTTGTTAAGGAGAATGCTCGAGCTGTCGGAGCTGTGACGTACTGCAGCTTGAACAAGCAAAGGGGAACATTTTTCCCGACTGTTCTCTACGTCTACGATCTTGAGCTGCCTGAGTCGATCGAGCCTCAGCCGGGCGATGATGAGGTTTCCGGTTTCAAGCTGATGTCGATTGACCAGGTCAAGGATGCCATGCTGGGTGAGCAATTCAAGCCCAACTGCGTTCTGGTCATGCTCGACTTCTTCATCCGCCATAACGTCATCACCTCTGAAAATAATGATGAGTATCTGGAAATTGTCACTAGGATGCGGCGGCATCTTCCGGTACCAACCAGTCCGGAACGAAGGTGATAGATCGTGAGTTGGCCAAACCTTGATTGCGTATGCTCGGGGAAAACATCTGGTTCACATGGATGCCAGAATAGATTCACTGTAGACGAGCCGTCAGAATAGAAATCAAAGACTCTGCCACCCTAGGATACTTATGATGCTGATAGCCTGGAAAGTGGCAACACCTCATACCTTGGATTCATTCATTGCGGACGAGCATCATTTGAGCCTTCCTTTAACGTATTTAGTTCTTGGTGTTATGACTCGACTGGGCACAAGTGTTTGTGACTTAGACGAAGAAGTGGGATGATTGCCTGCCTGCTATAGAAATCTCTCGGAGGGGATTACCAAACTCATGAAGCGTACGCTGTTGTTCCCTGTGCGGCGTATTACTTGTAATCGCCTAGGACGTAACTCTGTCGACACTTACTGTCTAATTACTGAAATCAGTCTGTTTATCTCTTCTACAATGACTGCTTTCGTGCTCAAGCATTATCGATACACGTGTATCAAGGTTCAACCAATTAAAAAGATAACGAAGACTATAAGTGAGCTCGTTGAATAGCGCCAAATAATTTCACATCGTGTCAGGTTGTCTTTGGTATACGTTTGATACAATAACCTGAGATTTTGCTGACGGCAAAAACTCATATCCTGAGTTTCACTTCGTAGTCATTTGCTCAGATAATGAAACAATTCATATATGATGGTTCGTGTATGTTGTACCTAAGGGGAGACTAGAGGTAGGAACCAAATCTCACAATTCTTCTATTCTACAGCTTCTTGCAAAGTCTCGTGTTGTACTCAATCTCTTCCCAGTCTTCTGTACCAGGAGTTGCAACAGCGTAAAAGATGCCGTTGGGGTCCCACTTCTTACGCAACTCAAGCAGCGTAGGGTAGACCGGGCCCCAGAAAGCGTCTTGCCAATTAGGTTGGAAGGGATCAGCCTGATAACATGGTCAGTCAATCTTCCTCCTACTATGACCAAATTCAGCAGAACTCACCTCGTTGACGTAGGTACATCCATCAGGACCAGCCTGTCTCAAGGCCTCATCCTGAATGTTGGTCAAGACGTCTTGCAGGTCAGCCTTCTGTTCAAGACTGGCGCCAATGGGTACCGGCATGACACTGATGATGAAGTTGGTCGCGTTTCTGAAGGCTGGATGTGTCGCACTGTTTGCCACCGGCCATGCATGGCCAGCATTCCAACTGTCTAATGTTAGACTTAATACTTCAGGGGCGAAAGTCAAGGCAAGGTACTCACAAATGTCCCACCATGAAACCAGATAGGCCTTCTCGGGGAGTGGCAACAGTCCTGAAAGCATCAACGATCTGGTCGTTCCGCTTCTCAACATCAGTGTGGCTGAACATCCAACCGCCAGTCAAGGCGTTGGTGCCAGCTTGTTCGTCGTGGAAAAGATCCGTGTAAAGGGCGAAGAATGAGCCGAAGCCTTTGGTGGAAGACTCAAAGGGGACGTTGCTGGCCTTGAGCTCGTCAAGCATAGGCTTGATGATTGCATCGAGTTCCCCTTGCGTCTTCCCAAACGCCACAAACGGTTGCACATTGAGCATCATCGGACCCAGCTCCCAGTAAACGTACAAACCACTGTCGACGAAATGGTTAGACCATTTGTGGAACACGCGAATTCCCTCCCAGAAAGTTGTCTCGTTGACTCCGCTGGTTCCGTTGATATACAAAACCCCCCCGGCTGCCTTTTCCTCGGGGTACGTCCGGAACGTCACTGATGTCACGACGGCGTACGAAGAAGGCCCGCCGCCCTTGAGGCCGTAGAAGAGATCAGGATTCTTGTCAGCGTTGGCGGTGACGTACTCGCCTTCGGCGGTGATGGCCTCGAACTCGAGTGCGTTGTCGGCAGTCATGCCGTGCAGTGTCGTCAGAGGGCCGTGGCCTCCTCCGGCAACGAGACCTCCGGCGACGCCTACGGTGGGGCACTCACCGGTGACGACGACGACGGGAGGATCTTGGGCATTGGCTGCCCTCAGCAGGGCGCGGCCTTGGACTCCGGCGCCGAGCGTGACAGCGCTGCCGGAGTAGTCACCGGGACCGGTCCATTGCCCGGTAAAAGTGATGTCCTGGAAACTATGAGTGTTGATGATGAGGGCGCCCCAACCGGTACTACGTCCGATGAAGTCGTGGCCCGTGTTGCGGATGATGAGGCGGAGGTTGTTGTCCCTGGCAAAATCGATACCGGCTTTGATGTGTTCCTTCTTGGTCGCCCCAATAACATAGACACCATAGTTGCCTAGCGTACAAGGCTCTTCGGGGTTTTCGGTAGGTTGACATGTTGCGTTGGTGAAGTACTTCCACAGGTTAAGACCCAGTTGATCCGTTCTTGGACGAGAATCAGCTCTTCAGTTCTCTGCTTTCCATGTGACAGCGAACACGATAAACGGAGTTGACCTACGACCATTGCTCATCCGAGTAGATAGCAGTAAGCTCAGCACACTTTGCTGCATCGTATGTTTGGATTGTGCCGAGGGTGCCGTTGAAGGTGTTGTGGCAGACAGCTTCGGGAGGGATGTGAGCATGCAAGTTTCCTTCGACCGTCGTATTGAGCTGGTTCCAGTCATTAGACTTGGGCCAGCATGTATCGCCAAAGTAGCATTTGCAGCCATACTGCTTCCCTTGCCACCTACGGGGCACCAGCTCGGCGGCGAAGACGCCTTGGGTGACTGCCGCCAGGCTGAGCAAGATTGTTGAAAATTGAACCATGGCGACAACTAGTCCTTGAAGAGGCCGGATGACCTTGAGTAACGCCTCATTCACCAGACGCCAACGGTCAGAAGACCTCATTTATAATCATCAGAACTGACCGGGGTCTGGCTTCTATACACAGCGTGAGGTCTTGGAGCCCCGACTTTCCCCTCCTCCCCATGCTCATCTTTCGGCTCCATCTCTTGCCTCCCTTTGGCCCAGGCTCAAGTCCTAGTGCTGCCAAGGTGCAGGCTGCTTTCGAGAATGCGACTCAATCTATTAACCTAGTTTAGGTTGCAATGCTCAGCTCGCCCCCGCTAGCAACCAAATGAGACTTACGCCGCTCGGGCTATACCCTCCTGCTAAAGTCTTGCCCGGTTCGCCTGATGCTCAAGAGTGATATGCATGCACGTCGGGCCAAGTTTCGTGATACATCATTTCAAGTAGACTTGCGTGCATCAAATATCCATGCTTGGTAATGATTAGATATGCTATCACGCACAGAACAGAGGTGGTGCTGCCGGAAACAATCACCAGAGCATTTCCGCATGGAAGGGCATGTGCAGTTACATGTAGCCAAGGAAGCGAACCAAGCATCTCAAGTTTCTTGAGCGATATGTCCCACATTATCAATATACGCTAGACAACAAGGAATCGTAGGAATTGGACGATGTAAAAGGCAAACAAGGCTGTCTTCACCCACCCAGCCCACAGCGGGTAAGGAGCGGTTCCCGAGGGCGGCGTTGGACGGCCCCGGGACCTGACAGGTTCATATTAAAGATTGCCCTCGATTTAACGAATAAAAGAGAGAATCTTTATTAGCGCTGACAGCTAAACCTGCACAACAAGGCGGGGTGTTTTGCCGGTAGATGCAACCGAGTGGGATCCCCGACGGCTGATGGAGCTATCCCCGAATGGACTTCAGGCCCGATGCAGCAAGTGACTCCAAAATTCCAGGGTGTGCTGTAATTTTGAATGAGCTTTCTTTGCGGACATAAGGAATTGAGTTGGAACTTGAGTGGACATAGTTTAATTCGAGGCTTATATCGTGAAGTCTCCCTCCGGCTTGGTCTGTGGTTGTATTAAAGCCGGGGCAGAGTTCTGTCAGCCATCTCTTGTCTGTAGGCTTAGCTATGAGACCTTTTTGGATCAAGCTGTCGAGGTCGCATTGACCCGTCGTAACCCAAAAAAGCCAAGACCTTGGGAGCAGGGTTTCGGAGCCGACAACGATCTTTCACCGAGAAAGAGGACTCTCGCGATATTTTAGGGACCCACGCAAAGCTGTGATAAGCAAAGGCACTGTGCCGACTTGGCACAGCGTGCCGCATCCGCAAGCCGCATGTGCACATTGGGGCAGCGAAGGCTTTTCGCTTGTAGCTTTGGAGTAAATGAAAGGCTAATGATTTGACGCAAAGCGCGTCGTCTTCTCTCTTCACCATCGGTAATGGATGAGTGAGAAGAAATCAGGGTGTCCGCGAACAGCAATACACGGCTCAAGAAACGGTCTGCCCAATGGGTTGATCTTTCGCTCGGATACGACAAGGAATGACAAAGGCCACTTATGTTTGTCAACTTGTGTTTGCCAACTTGTGTTGTCAACTCAATTTTTCCGGCTTTAGAAGTAAGATACAGTTTGATTCGCTGTTGATCCAAAATGCGACGATTTTGTCGGATTGGAAGTCCAATTCGACCTCGACGTAAGCGTGCCCGCGCAGGGGCCAATTACGGCCCCTACTTACGATTACCGCGGCCTGCCCAACCTACGGTTGGAACTTCCTTTTTACACCTATGCAGAAGATCATAAAGTTAAATTGACCTCTTCGTCAACCCACGGTTCGAACCAATTATCCTGTGATACGGATACCAACAGATTTCCCGTCTATTCAGCACAGCTGTCTGAGCAAAGACATGGGTGCCGAGCGTCAGCACTAGCGATGTCTCTTCCCGAAATGGAATCTCTCATAGAATGTCTTTACCACCAAAGCTTATTCTCACGTCTTGAGTGTTACAAAGCGGGGGCGTCCAGGGCGTTTAGTTATTTCTTGAACTGGTTGTGAGTATCACACGTAAGGTGCTAACTGCCACCCTTTCCTGCTGATAAAGACAAGCTCGTGGAAGTACGAACTGATTGGACACGTTCATCGATTCCCTCGAAGAAGGATTTGAAACAAACCCAAGAACCTGTTACCTCCTAACGATCTTAGCTGGCATCCCTTCCTTAGGATGAGCGGTGATCTGTGTTCCTGTCATCCACTGGAAACCTTTCTCCCCAAAAACCTCTGGCGCGTCCTCGGGAAATTGCGGC